TTTTTTTTTTTTTTTTTTTTTTTTAAGTAATCTCTACACCCAACATGAGGCTCAAACTCATAACCCCAAGATTAAGAGTCCCTTGTTCTATCGACTGAGCCAGCTAGGCACCCCGACTTGTATTTATTTTCTAAAAGTGTATTTGTTTGGATGTTATCAAACCATTTTTCCTTATTGTTTTCTTTCTTTTAAGATTGGATTTACAGATGTAGAAATAGTAACTCTGAAGAAGAAGTAATCACAAGACAGCCAAGTACAAAAGGCATTAATACACCTGTTTCATTGGCATGGAAGAGTCGTTTAGGCAGAAGCATGTTCTTTTGTTACCCAGGTTGCCCATGCCATTATTCAGACATGATGAGTCACTATCTAGCTGGTGGTGATGTTCATTTCCATAGAAAAGAGGCAGACAAAGCTGGTCCAGTAAACCTTACTATGTCTGGGACATTATCTGGCAGCGTGGTATAGGTACTGGGGACCTTGGACCTGTGTAACACTAGTTCCATCTTCCCGTGGTAACATGACGTTGATCAGGTTCCATCCTTGTTGAGGCTCGGTTTCCTCACCTGTAAAACAGGGATTGTTTTGCCTTCAACTCCCTTCAGGAAGTCAAGCGTATTCTGAGCTACCCAAGAAACTGCTGTCTGTGGGGAATAAGTGGGCATTTAGTAAATTTTTATTGAAATTATCCTGAATTTTATCTACATGTAGGTGAATGATGGGGAAACCAAACTTGTCTTTTCTTTATGAGACTGATACATCAATAAGAGACCAGAATGAAAATTCCCTTCTGATGATTTTCTCTTCTAAACACTGTAAGACTGGGACTAACCCTGCCTGCCCACCCTCCTGCCTGTGCAGAGCCTACCCATCTTCCCTTCCAGGCTCAGATAGCCTCATTATTGGGGTCTTTATTAGGAACTGCATTAGGATGGTTTGCAGCATTTGACCTTTGGTCAGCCATTGGCCCTGCTGGCAGGGGTGGGTTATGAGTGTGAGAGAGCAGTGCCGGCTGCTGAGGATCACAGGGACCTCGCATCTTTGTAATACTCGGGCTGTCCCCAGTGGTCCAGAGATAACATTCACATTGGGATAGAACAGGTATTTGCTTAGCTGCTTTCTAAAAATTTATTTTGGGGCGAGGTTTTCTGGCTGCATACTTGCTACGAGCAACCCAAAGAGAAGCACATACAATGCAGTCGCTCCCACTATGCTTTTCCTCTGTGTTTTCGTGTGAGTGAATTCTCCCTCACCCGGACCCCGATAGTGCTTAGATGTGCTTCCAGCTCCTTTGGGTCTTACCTCTTCTTTAGTACTGGCACACAACTAGCCTCATTACCAGAAAAAGATTTGAGACAAACTTTGGGTCCTTTTCATATCCTCCCTGCTGTTGTTAGGAAGTGTTTCATGGGCACGTGCGGTAACTCCCCCCCCCCACCACCCAGAGCTCATTGAAGATGACATGACTCTGAGTCGTCCTTTATTATTCTTGTACCTCAAGTAATTGTTTCCCTGGGGCTTGCTCCCTGATTGCTGATTACACAGAGCACTTGCTGACTACTGTCTTGCCACTTATGTTTTGATGGGATCTGTACATTTTAGAGACCTTCTCCAGAAACAGAATAGCCTATGATTGCTTTTCATAGCAGAAATCTCATCTCCTCTGAAAGGTTTAATGTTGTTTTTTTTTCCCCCCTTACTAATGCCGTGTGATTACAAGCAATTTGTCAGTGATTTGAAGAGTTTGGAGGGCAATTGAAGGTGTCACATGCCACCATATGGTGAAGGAAGACGCACTGCAAGCAGTTCTAACGCTTTTTTTGTTTTTAAATTAAGCTCCAGAATTGTAACTACTTGTAAAATCCTTTTGGTAGTTAAGTTCCAGGTGGTGGAAAATCTTTCCGCAAAAATACTGTAAATAATTACTCAGACCATCTGGCTAGATGATTTTCTTTTTCTGTTCATTAGAAAAAGTGGGGGGTAGGGAGGAAGAATGAAACTGCTTTCTGGAGTTGGAGGTTTTATTTCTTGTGGTAAGCAGCGTTAGGACAATAGTAATAGATTCTCCAACATTCTGTTTTCAAATCATGGGCTAACAATTGGAATCAGCATGTGTAAGAGGAAAGAAATGGCCAACAAAAGCAAAGCCACATATGTGAGACTCTGACCTTGAGCTGCACTATCAGTACTGACCCCTTTCTGTGTATTTAGCACCCTGCTAAAGCCTGGGAAATTCCTTTCCCATAATTAGGCAATAAAAAAAAAAATCTGTTGCATCATGGTGCAATTAAAATGTTTTCCATGAAAATCTCTCCATATTTCCTGTTGTGGGAAGTTGGTCTTTCATTTTGCCTTGCTGTCTGCCTGGTTCCCTTGGCTGTCTAGTGTGGGCAAAGATGAGGAAAGAGAAACTGAGAGTAAAAGATAATAGACTGGCCCACCGCCAAGATGCTTTTGCAGTACAAAATGCGTGTTGCTTTGCTTCCCTCTAATTAATGGGTCCTCAAAATATCATGACTTGAGAAATTTCTAATTGGAAAGAAATGTACCAATTAGAAGAAATAAAAGAATAAAAAGTGAAATTTGGGAAGACTGAGAAAATGAACACTTTGAAAATGGTACAGAGCTCAGTTTTTCTGATGCTAATAAAATATGTGAAATTGTCTAAACCAGATTGAAATCAGTTCTGAGATGTTGCAGCAGGGGTCTGTATGGGGTATTAATTTTTGAAATCAGACATACATGATCAATTATTTTCTGCAGTTTCTAAACCTAGGGTTTAATAAAGGGCATAATGAGTTTATTGTGTGTCAACTTTAAACTTTAAAAAGCATTTTCTTATCAGTGGTAATGGTCTCTCAGGTGAAGGGTTTTTCTTGGTAGTGAGGCTTACATTAATTTTTTTATTGTGCACCAACTCCCTAACTTAAGGAACCATATGTCATGTACAAAGCCACGTTCACATGTTTTCACTTTTATTTCAGGGTGGATTATGTGGATTCTTTGGGGCGATCTCGGCGCTGTATGAAAAAGGATTTGCCAGATCTGCTGGAAATGGATAAAAATCTTCAAGGGAGGCTGTAAGTATGTGATATGTGAGGCTTTGCCTGGGTCTGAAATGCAGACACAAGGATTGTTTTTGAGTGAGGCTGCTTTTAGTCCATTATCTTTGATGGTCCAATGAGGAGGTTTTCTTCTTAACATATAAAAATATCTACTGAGGTGCTCTTTTGTGGCTAGTACGTACACAGTCCACACTTGGGACAACCTGAGTAGTCGATCATCCATACTGTGTAGCTACTAAAATGGATGAGTTGGAGTTCTGTCTGTTTACTTGGAAGGGTGTCGGATATCAGAGTAAAAAATAGAGAATAAGCCCAATCCAGCAAACCTGCCTCTGTGGAGAAAGGTGTTTAGGAATATATACTAGGTTATCCCATAGCAAGTGGGAGCAGAGAGGTTGTTAGCTTATTAACTTTTTCTTTGTACATTTTTACATTTTGAAGGGCCTTATAGCTAGATTTTTTTCTACAGGGACCAAGACACATCGAAAAGATAACTTGCTCCTATGCTCCGGGGAATAAAATTCCCCTCACCAAGGGTAGTTTTTATGAGGAAAATGGTGGGAGAAGGCGCACCGTGTCCAAATCCTTCAAGTTCAGATAGGCCTGGGCTCAGTGTAAGGAAGGAAATGCAGAAGCCTTGAGCTGTCTGACAGAGGCCGGGAGGTGTGCCTGGGCTGTAACATTATGCAGCCTCCTCAGTACTGGGCAGGTGACCAGGCAGAGAAGGCTCAGGTTCCTCCTTCCCTGAGCCAGGGTGGGAAGGAAATGGATTTGTCTCAAGTGCCAAGAAAAGATTCTGGTGCACTCTTGTAACAAGTCGGCTGCTTGATTAAAGAAAGGTGAAAACCTTCTTTGCAATTTCCCAGTGATATTGGGTCAGAAACTTCTGTAAGGAACTGTGTTCTTTATCAACTAGAGTTGCTTGTCCATGATCCGTCCTACTGAACTGAAGCATTGCTGTCTCATGTCTCTGAGCTAAAGAGTTTTGTTCTTTTCCATTACTAGTTTTGTTAGTCCTGCTAATGAGAAAACCTTATTATCCGAAGATATGAGAAAAGAACTTCAACGCCAGCAATGGGAGGAAGAAGAAAGAGAGGCCTTGAAAAGGCCAATGGGGCCCATACATTATGAAGATATTCGTGAAAATGGTATGATCATCTTGCAGCTTTTAAATCTTTTTTTTTTAATCGGGAACTAATGGTAAGCATAAAGGGAAATATTCATAAAGCAGCAGCTCTTAGGTAGAAAGAAAAGATTCCAATTTTGAAATTGAAAATATCCCCTTTGTTCACTTCATAGCCTAAAGAATACTCATATTGGAAATTTCTTTCTAAGAGAGGGTCTATTAATCACAAGGAGGAGATTTTTTTGGCTTAGCTACTTTTTGTTTTTTTCTAACTTGTGCTAGATATCACTGAGTTTCTTTCTTTTTTTTTTTTTTTAAGATTTTATTTATTTATTTATTTGATAGAGAGAGATCGCAAGTAGGCAGAGCAGCAGGTAGAGAGAGATGGGGAAGCAGGATCCTGTTGAGCAGAGATCCTGATACGGGACTCAATCCCAGGACCCTGAGATCATGATCTGAGCTGAAGGCAGAGGCTTAACCCAGTGAGCCACCCAGGTGCCCCATCACTGTGTTTCTTTTTGCTTTGGTAGGAAAGTTAGCCTGAGTCTAATTCATTAATCAGGGAACTCTAATCTTTTGAATAATTTGACTTATTTCAGAGGCCCGGCAACTTGGTGTTGGATATTTTGCTTTTGCTCGAGATAAAGAGTTGAGAAACAAGCAGATGAAAACATTAGAGATGCTGCGTGAACAGGTAAAAATTAAATTCAGAATTGATGTTGAGAAGGGTTTGAGCAGTTGGTTTCTTGTTAGACTACACAACAAAAACAATCTATTATTTATTTATTTAATTAAATCAGTTTTTAAAGATCTTATTTATTTGAGAGAGAGAATGAGAACAGGTGGGGGGAGGGGCAGACAGAGAGGGGAAAGCAGACTCTCTGCTGAGCAAGGAGCCTGATGTGGGGCTCAGTCCCAGGACCCAGAGATTATGATCTGAGCCAAAGGCAGGTGCTTAACTGACTGAGCCACCCAGGCATCCCACAATCTATTTTTTAAATTGGTACTCAGAATGGCCTTTTTTTTTTTCTTTTTTAAGAAATGTTATATTTAGGGGTGCCTGGTTGTCTCAGTCAGTTAAGTGTCTGCCTTCGGCTCAGGTCATAATCTCAGACTCCTGGGATCAAGTCCCGCTTCGGGCTCCCTGCTCAGCAGGGAGTCTGCTGCTTTTTCTGCCTGCCACTTCTCCTGCTTGTATTCGGTATCTCTCTCTCTGACAAATAAATAAAATCTTAAAAAATAAAAAATGCTATATTCATTTCATAGTTAATATTCAGAGCAGTGATGGACAGAAGTGCATCAAATAAACTTCGAATGATTGATATTTCTGATATTTAATAAATACTATTATAGCCATAGACCAGATATTTTATTATTACTTTTTTTTTTAAGATTTTATTTATTTATTTGGCAGAGATCACAAGTAGGCAGAGAGACAGGCAGAGAGAGAGGGGAAGGCAGGCTTCCCGCTGAGCAGACAGCCTGATGCGGGGCTCTGATTCCAGGACCCTGAGCAGGACTCTGAGATCATGACCCAAGCTGAAGGCAGAGGCTTTAACCCACTGAGCCACCCAGGTGCCCCTACTTTTTAATTGAAATAAAATTGACACATAACATTTTATTAGTTTCAGATGTATGACATAATTATTCAGTATTTGTGTCTATTGGGAAATGATTACTGCTTTGTCAAGTTAACATCCGTCACCGCGTAGTATAACATTTTTTTTCTCGCAATGAGAACTTTTAAGGTCCACTCTCTTAGCAATTCTCAAATATGCATTACAGTATTATTAACTGTGGTTGCCATGTTCTATATTACATCCACATGACTTGTTTATTTTATAAGTGGAAGTTTAAATACCTTTTGATTTCCTTCACTCATTTTGCCCACTCCCCCCCCCCACCCCCACCAGTTCTGTCAACCGCCAATCTATTCTCTGTATCTATAAGATTATGTTTTGAGATTTTGGGAGGTGTGGAGGTTAGATTCCACATATAAGTGAGATCATGTAGTATTTATCTTTTCCTGTCTGACTTATTTCACTTAGCATAATGCTCTCAAGGTCCATCCGTGTTGTTCAAATGGCAAACTTCCCTTCCTTTTTATAGCTGAATGATATTCTGTTCCATATATATATATATATATACACACACACACACACACACACGCATACACATGCCTTTATTCATCATTGATGGACACTTAGGTTTTTACCATATCTTGGCTATAATTCTACAGTGAACATGGGGGTGCAGATATCTTTCAAATTAGTGTTTTCATTTTCTTCAAATAAATATGCAGAAGTGGAATTGCTGGATCATATGGTAGTTCCATTCTAATTTTTTGAGGAACCTCCATACTGTTTTCTGTTGTGACTGTACCAGTTTGCATTCGCACCAACAGTGCATGAGGGTTCCCTTTTTTCTACCTCTTTGTCAATACTCGGTATTTTCTGTCTGTTTGATAATAGTCATTCTAACAGGTGTGAGGTTGATATCTCTCTGTAGTTTTGATTTGCATTTTCTTGATGATTAATGATGTTCATCATCTCTTTATATGTCTGTTGGCCGTCTGTGTGTATTCTTTGGAAAAATGTCTATTTAGGTCATCTGGGTTTTTGTTTTGTTTTGTTTTTGCCATCTACCTGTTTTTTAATTGGATTGGTTTTTATGAATTTTTCTCACTTTTTTGGGGGTGGGGGTACTGTGTTGTATGAGTTCTCAGTATATTTTGGATATTAATCCCTTATCAGATAATATGATTTGCAGATATTTGCTCCCGTTCAGTAAGTTGTCTTTTCATTTTGTTGATGGTTTCCTTTTGCTGTGCAGAAGCTTTTTAGTTAGATGTTATCCCACATGTAAATTTTTGCTTTTGTTGCCTTTGCTTTTGGTGTCACATCCAAGAAATCATGGCCAAGACTGATGTTAAGGAGCTTACTGCTTATGTTTTCTTCAAGAAGTTTGATAGTTTCAGATCTTATGTTCAAGTCTTTAGTCCATTTTGAGTTAATTTTTGTGTATGGCGTAAGATAGTGGTCCAGTTTCATTCTTTTGCTTGTGGCTGTCCTGTTTTCCCAACCATTTATTAAAGAGATTGTCCTTTTCCCATTATATATTTTTGGCTCTTTTGTCATAATTAACTGACCATATATGCTTGGGTTTATTTCTGGGCTCCCTTTTGTGTTCCCCTGATCTCTGTGTCTGTTTTTATGCCAATATCATACTGTTTTGATTACTGTAGCTTTGTAATATAGTTCAAAATCAGGCAGCTTAATGCTTCCATTTTGTTCTCCTTTCTCAAGAATGCTTTGGCTCTTCAAAGGCTTCTGTGGTTCCATATAAATATTAGGGTTGTTTGTTCTATTATTGTGAAAAATATTCGTTGCAATTCTGATAGAGATTGCATCGAATCTTTTGATTGCTTTGGGTAATATGGACATTTTATCAATATTAATTCTCCCAATCTGTGAGCATGCTGTATTTTTCCAATTCTGTGTGTCTTCAGTTTCTTTTGTCATTGTGTTATAGTTTCCCTTGGTTAAATTTATTCCTAGGCATTTTATTCTTTCTGATGTAATGGGAATGTTTTCATTTCTCTTTCTGATAGTTTGTTATTAGCCTATAGAAGCGCAACAGATTCGTGTTGATTTTTTATGTTAATTTTGTACCCTGTAACTTTTTAAAAAAATTTTTATTTATTTGAGAAAAAGAGGACAAGCAGGCTGAGGGACAGACGGAGAGGGAGAAGCAGACTCCCCACTGAGCAGGGAGCCGGACGTGAGACTCTATACCCAAGGACCATGGGATCATGATCTGAGCTGAAGGCAGATCCCTAACCACCTGAGCCACCCAGGTGCCCCTGTACTCTGCATCTTTACTGAAGCCATTTATTCTAATAGCTTTGGGGTGGCATCTTTAGGGTTTTCTATATATAATATCATGTCTTCTGCAAATAGTGAGAGTTTTATCACTATTATTTATCAGTATGCTATTATAGTTTCATGAAGGTAATTGCTGTTCTATTTTGGTGTTTCAGACTTTAAAATTAAGCTGCTCAGAAGTAACTTATGTAACTTTGATGTTTTAAATTTGGTTTTAAATATGGTACTTTTGGAGTGGCCTGGGTTAGAAAATAGAGAGTTATTTAAGGGATTAAGGAGTAGAACAGAATTGGTTGGTTTCCTTGAATGTGAAGATTCCAGGATGCTCTGTGAACACTCGCTAAACTTAGAAAACACGCCAGAGGGCTTGTATAAGAGGACCTTTGTGTTTTGAAGATCTAAGGCTAGTTTCCCAGAGGTGGCATGAAAAATGAATTAATTAGTCTGTTTTTAAAATAAAGTAAATTATTTTATCCCTTTAAGCAGAAATATTGTGAATTTGGCTTACAGTAAATGTTCTAATTTTCTTTTGAATTCAGACAACAGATCAGAGAACAAAACGAGAGAACATAAAGGAAAAGCGAAAGGCAATGTTAGAAGCAAGACTTGCTAAACTCCGACAAAAAAAGATGAAAAAGTCAAAAGAAGATGGAGCAGAGGAAGAAAATAGAGGTATATCATGGCTCATATATCTGACCTTCAAAAGGAAAAATTTTAGTTCCATTGATGTCTCAACAAATAGGACTGGCACTATGGAAATGAGCCATTTCATTTTATTCTCTAAGCAAGCAGAGTACCTCTGAGATACTGCCAGGAGTAGGTTTTTATAACCAGAGTGGTGCAGGGTGACACTCCAAAGAAACTTTTTCTGTAGACAAAAATATTAACAAAGAGGGCATTGTGTTACTTCAGAGGATGGCATGGTTTGGTAACTGAGACTTAACTTAGAGAAGAGATGTTTTAAGATGAAGTTTACTTGTGCACACGTTTCTTTTGCTATGGCTGTATGTTTTTTGTTTATTACACGTTAATTTGTTTTAAAGAAGAAGTATATTCACAAAATCAGATAAAGGAATTTACAAGTATTGAGTCTGGACAGTTCATGAAAGGTCACAATGGAAAAACTGTTACATGCTGTGTTCCTGCTGGCTTGCTGCCTGCAGTAGGAGTTACCCTAGTTTGGGGGCTAAGCTCTCTGGACTAGCTCACACAAGATGGAAGTCTGTTCTGTTTTAATGCTTTAGAGGTGGTGGGTTTCCAAGCAGGTAGTAGCCTTGCTCCAGATGATCACCCAGTCCCAGCTTCCTCCTGTCCTCCTGCATCTGCCATTCCTAGAGTGTTGCTCTACCTGTAGGACAGAAACTTGCTCGCTGGCACCTGTTCACGGTCCAGCCCCAGGAAAGGGGAAAAAGGGATAGGAACCAGCTGCTTCTTTAGGAATGTGAATCAAAGGCACATGCCACCCACACATTTACATCCCACTGGCCTGAATGCAGCTGCAAGGGGCTGGGGAATGGCCTGTCAATGAGGCAGCTGCACCCCCAGGCTGAAACTGGGGGCGTTCTGTTCCCAAAAGGAAGAAGGGGGTGTGTGGGTATCAGGGGCATAAGCCAGCCACTCCAGCCCTCACAGAAACCTGTGCCAAGCCACTGGCCATCTTTTGATTCTGAACTCAGCTTCAGTTTAGCTCTGAAAGGAGACCAGAAACACTGAGGAATTGGGCAGTCATCTGTGCCATTTTATATGATGCTAGGTCCCTGAAACGTGTTAAACTCTGCATACTTTTCTCTATTTTTGCTCTACTCCTAAACATCTGTCATTTCCACAACACGTGAAGTGCCACCACAGTGGTTTTTTAAAAACCCATTTTCTTTAAAAATCTGACCAAAGTGACTAGCCTTCAGCCTGTTGCCATGCTTCAGCTCTTCATCACCCGAAATCCCCTTGCTTTGTCTGAGATTCTTCAGTTGAGTTATTGGGGATTTCTGGTCCTTCAGTTGGTCTGGGGAGTCAAACAGACTTTGAAATCCATCTAACCTGGGTTTGGATCCTGGCTCTTGTCACTTTCTCCTTGTGTGGCATTTCTGAGCTTAATTTTCCTCATTTATAAAATAGTACTACTAAAGTACTACTTTTACATTCTAAAATAGTAATACTGACTTTGTTAGGGTTATTAAAAGAATTATACGAACTGTTGTATACAAGATACTGAGTCCACTGCCTGGGCCATGATAGGTGCTCATTAAATACTGGTTATTACTTTTACTCTCAAGATTAGCATGTTCTATTTAATGTTTATTTTCTAAATAGCTTTAAGCTTTATTATAATAATGTGTTATTCCCTTGCAAAAAACAGATGTTATTGAACCTTTGCCACCAGAACCAGAGGTTGTGCCAACTCCACGTACTGCTGCCCAGAGTAGCAAAGTAGAAGTCATTGTTCAGGAGAGGAAGGATACCAGGCCCGGAGTGCCCCATGTCCGAGAGTGGGACAGAGGAAAAGGTAAGGGGGTGTGGGCTTCAAGGTGTAAATCCTTCCAGTGATGGGCCTTGCACAGAAGATTTTTCTGGTTCATTTCAATATGATTCTCATGAGTCTCTGTGGTCCCTCGAGGCTTAAGGAATTCTCCAGAAATTTCAGCTGAGTTCTTCTTAGGACCCAGACACTAGCTTATTTGTAAACAGGGCCACTAGAAAGTGTGATCATAAAAGACCAGGGTCTATAATACATCATTTCAAAGGGACAATTTTTTAGAAGCACTGGGTAAAGTTTGGTTTTTGTTTTTTGTTTTTAAAGATTTTATTTATTTATTTGACAGAGATCACAGGTAGGCAGGAGAGGCAGGCAGAGAGAGGAGGAAGCCGGTTCCCAGCCGAGCAGAGAGCCTGATGGGACTCGATCCCAGGACCCTGGGATCACGACCTGAGCCGAAGGCAGAGGCTTTAACCCACTGAGCCACCCAGGTGCCCCTGGGTGAAGTTTTTTAAAATTTGTGCTACCCTCATGTGCCTTTATAGTTTTGGAATGCCCTTTCTCAGGATCCACTTTTGAAAATCTTTTAAGGTTTGATATTTTAATGTCCTCTGTATTTTTAGCAGTCTCCTTTTTTTTTTCCAAATTTTTATTTTTTAAATTTCTTTTCAGTGTACCAGAATTTATTGTTTATGCACCACACCCAGTGCTCCATGCAATATGTGCCCTCCATAATACCCACCACCAGGCTGACCCAACTTCCCACCCCCCGCCCCTTCAAAACCCTCAGATTGTTTTTTAGCAGTCTCCTTTACGTTCAGTTGAAAATAGTCTGTGTGCCACAGTATTAATTTGGATTTGCATATGGTTGTGTTGGGTCATGCAAAATTACCTGTAAGTACACCATGGTGCCCACAACAGCTTCTTGTTGGAGGCTATGATTTATGTCTCTCCAAATGAGATCATTAGAATAGGACATTAGCAGGGGCACCTGGGTGGCTCAGTGGGTTAAGCCTTTGCCTTCGGCTCAGGTCATGATCTCTGGGTCCTGGGATTGAGACTTCTGCTCAGTAGGGACCCTGCTTCCCCCTCTCTCTGCCTGCCTCTCTGCCGACTTTTGAGCTCTCTCTGTTAAAAAAATAAATAAAACCTTAAAAAAAAAAAAAGAATAGTACATTAGCTCATGCTATATGAGCTGGTGAGATCCACGACTGAAGTAAAAGATAGGCAAATAGGTGAGTGCCTTAGGTTAGTGCTACTGTTAGAAGCAGAGCTGAAATACCAAATGAGATTGGGACAAGTGTCTTTTTGTGTCTTCTAAAACTCAGTAAAGGCCAAAGTTTGTGTCTCATTGTGAAGTACCTACATCATGTCAAGCAAATGTTTTGAGGGTTGGATTTTTCTAGATTACACTCTGAAATACAATTTTAGTGCCTTTTTGGCAATACTTCCAGAACTTACCACCCTTCTCCAAGAGCCTTCCTCGAATCATTCCCCATCTGGTAGTAGGCATTCCCTTTTCTTTGTCTGCTTCCTTTTATTTTTGTAGGCATTACATAGACCTTGTATTATGTTATTGCTATCCTTATTCTCCAGAGAATGAGAGTTGACTTTTAATATATAATAATTGAAAAGTAGTAATGGTAAAAGTTCAGCTGATTCTGTAATCAGTTCTAATAATAGTCTTTTATTTTTACTAGAATTTTCCTTCGGGTACTGGTCGAAGAGGCAGGCAGATCTCCGGGCTGAGAGAGATCCTGAGTTTGCTCCACCATCAGATTATTTTGTGGGTCAAAGGAGAACTGGTACCTTCGGTAGCCAGACATGGAACAGACCCGCACCTGCACAGAGTGACCCAGGACAGTGCTCTGGCCAGAACCATGACCCCAGCTCTTCATATACATCATCCACTCCTGCCCCCAGCAGCCCACCACAAGCCCCCACAGTCACTTTCGAAACTCTGGATGATATGATATCATATTATAAACAAGTGACATGAACTTCAAAACCATTCTTGCTTGGGTCTATACTATGATGGTGCCTTTTTCTCCCAAATTGGGGAAAATATAACTTTAAAGATTGAATTGTATCTTTCTCCTCCTGTCCTTTCCCTAGAGGATACAGACTTCAGGTTGGATTTGTCAGCAAAGAAGAAATTGAATGGTACTGTGGGAATTCTGTGGCCACTTGGCTGTTCATTTCTTTCTGATTGATATGGAGACCTGTCCTTCTGGATTTATGTGTAAGCTATCATAACATGACCCTAAGGAGCTTGTAATCCTGTTTCCTACCCGCTTCCTTGGCTTATTTGATTTAAGGATTCCATTCCTTTCCTTTTGCAAATACTAGCATGCAGCTCTCTTTTCCCAAGGATTCAGCTTCCATATCACTTGGTGGAGCGTCTATCAGGAGGCATGTTTGCCTGTCAAAGTGGCAAATGAGGGAACACTGTGCAGGGCAAAGTAATCTAGTCTCCAAGAAGACCCTGAAGCCGGTGGACTATTAAGCAATAACATTTGAAATGATAAGGAAGACCAGGGAGTAGAACCTCGTAATCCAAAAGGGTAAGAGGTGAAGTCACTTATATTGTCACCACACATGCCTGGTGGGTATTCATTAAGTGTGTGTGGAGTACCTGGGGCCCATGTGGAGGCTATCGGACCAAGTCAGAGAGTGAGATGCTTTTCAGCTTAAGGGTTACTTTTTCAGCTGGGCCTGTCTCTCTGCTGTGCCCACTGTAGGCCCTCATCACTTTCAGGAGCCACATCACCTCAGAAGTCTTATTGAAATAGATCTGGGCTGGAGTGCGAGGCAGGGAGGTCCCTTCATCTTTACTAACAGTGAATTAGTGAGCAGAGCTCTGGAAGCCTTTCCTGTGCCTAAATACATCCTGTCCTCTGCCTCCTGCACCTCAGTGTCTTCATGGCTCCAGACAAGCAGTGGGAGTTGGCCACCAGATCTTCCAAGTGCCAGAAGGAGCCTGTACTCCTGTGGGCTCCAGTCCACATAGTTTCAGTGATATTGATGGGAGTGCTCATTATGGATTGCAAACTGGAGTCCAGAAAAGGTCAACAACTTGTCCAGGGTCATGTAGCATCCCAACGGCAGCTCTGGGACTTATATGTAGCTTATTTAAGCTCACGTTTGCTCCAAATTCAGTTTTTCCACTGCCCTGTGCTCTTAGTGTTGTCACTCCAGTATCAAGTAGTACTAGATGAAAATCCCAAATTCTTGCAAACTTAACCTCTGAACTCCATGTCAAGGGCAAAGTTGCCTGTCCTAAGGGTCATTCTGTTAGTCTGATCAGGCAAATCTCTTTTTAAAGATACACATTAAAATCAACTGACCCAGCCATCTTTTTGCAGAAATTGGTAAGCTGATCCTAAATTTGTATGGAATTGAAGAGACCCAGAATATCCAAAACAATCTGAAAAAGAACAAAGTTGGAGGACTCTCACTTTTTTTTTTTTTTAAGATTTTATTTATTTATTTGACAGAGATCACAAGTAGGCAGAGAGGCAGGCAGAGAGAAAGGAAGGGAAGCAGGGTCCCCACTGAGCAGAGAGCCTGATGCAGGGCTTGATCCCAGGACCCTGGGATCATGACCCGAGCCGAAAGCAGAGGCTTTAACCCACTGAGCCACCCAGGCGCCCCGGACTCTCACTTTCTATTTCAAACTTACTACAAAGCTACAGGAATCAAAGCAATGTTGTACTGACATAGGATAAGTATCTAGTTCCATGGACTAGTGCTGAAGGTCCGAAAAGAAAGCTCTGTTTCTGTGGTCAATTCATATTTGACAGTGGTGCCAAGGCCATCCAATGGGGAAAGAATAGTTTCTTCAAAAGATGATTTTGGGACAGCTGACTATCCACATGCAAAAGAATGAATATGGACCCATAACTCAGGCCATAAACAAAACCAACCTAATGTCAAAATGGATCAAAGGCCTAAACATAGGAACTAAAACTACATAACCAACTGAAACAGCTTTTGGGCACAAGGAGAGGAGACAGAAAAAGAAAAATTGGAATAGTAGAAAGAAAAAAATAGAATTATTAGTTATACTGGGAACATTGGAAAATGGAAAAATGGAAGGAAGGAAGAAAACAGACAAATGAGAAATAGGGAAAAGGTATGGTTATAACGTAGAGCAGAAGGACTTGGGCTGTATGTGGAGAGGAGATGGGAAGGCTAGTCAGGCAGCAGTAATCCCTGTGGGAGCCAGTGGTCATGAGAGGGAACCCGAAATAACCTTTTGTTGCTCAGGATGGCCCAACCTAGGGTGGATGGTAAAGCAGTCTGCACGTTGGCTCATGGTCATTGTCGACTAGTAACTAAGTCAGATTTTCTCTAGGATTTCAAAACTATTTTAACATTTCTCATCCTGTCTTAGCATACAGGTTGTTTAGTGTTTCAGGAGCCCAGTTGTTAGTTACATCCTCTTGCCTTTTAGACCCAGAGTTCAGGTGTTGACACAATTTCAGTTTTACCATTTCTCATGGGCCTGTTTTATAGTGTGTTTCCAGCAGATGGCGCCAGCATTCTCAAGACTTCAGATTCACTCTGCAACAGCACCACCCAGTAGAAATATGACGTAAGCTGTCTGTTTTCAGTTTTCTGGGAACCACATTAAAAAAGTGAAATTAATTTCATGATATACTGTATTTAATCCAGTATATCTAAACTAGTTCAACATTTAATTATATTTAAAAATATCCAGATATTTTATATTTCTTTGCACACTGAGTTTTAAAAAATCTGTATATCCACCAGCGGTACATCTCAATTCAGATGCTAAATTTTCATCAGGAATACTTGGTCTATATTTATATTTCTTAGAAAATACAGTGAAAAGGTAGATTCACACACCCAAGTTCCATACACAAACATTTCTAAGTTTGCCAGTAACTGTATCAAATAACAGTTCTTTTTTTAAATTTTTTATTAACATATAACATATTATTAGCCCCAGGGGTACAGGCAAATATCAGTTCTTAATACAATTTTACTTCCTTAGTCATACTAACCACATTTCAGGTACTCAGAAGACATGACGCTACTGCATAGCACGACTCTGCATGATCTGTTTTTTATATGCTTTATGGTCTGACTACACGTAATCCTTCCATTAGTGACTAAAGGTCTGATAAACATTTCTTCCAGGCATGCATTAAGCACTGAAGCTATTCTTACCACAGTGTTTAATTCGGAGGCAAGGAGTCATGAACTCTTCTGTCAGAAAACACGACCACACCTTACTCATATCTTTGTAAAGCTAAGCGAAATGTTTTGGATCAGAAATTGCTTTGAATTATTTGTTTTCACTGTAATCTTTCCTCTATGCCTTTGTGTGTTTTGATATAGTCCCTTTGAATTGGCTAAATAAATCATTTTGTTCGCTTGCAAAATTCCCGAAGGAGAAACTTTAAATCCATATACATGAGATTCCTGCTATGTTTAGCCATACATTTGCCAAAGACTTGTGGGATCATTTATTTCCTCTTAAAGCCACAGTGCAGCCTGCAGGATGGTTTTCAGCTAACCTTGTTGTGACATCGAGAGGAGGCAGTAGAATTTAGAATTTGGAACAGGGGTCGGTACTGGTCTTTACAGTTAATACAACATAGAGGAGCCACGCCATATGTATTTCGTTTCTTTTTCAGCCAGTGAATTGAACTAAGTCAGTTATATGTCAGGCAGTTTGTGTAAAAAGCTATATGGCTAAGGTAAGTGATGATAATTAGAATTGTTGACCCGCTGGAAACAGAGAGAAAATGAAATCCCCAGGCCCTCCCGCCCAGCCTTTGTGAGCTGCCTTAGTGAGGCATTTAGCTAGTGTAGATTATGGACATCTAGCTTAATGTTTAACGTTTGGGGTTGGGGGTAGAGAATGATGTAATAGGTGTACATTATTGTGTAGGAAAACTGGAAGATTAATGAAACGAAGCAAGGTGTTTTAATGAAAACCTGGCACTCAGGCCCAGTATTGATCTGTTACCATGTTTCTTAATAAATCCCGGGCTGCATTTATATACACATGCATACTAAGTGCATTTTGTCCAGTGATGGGAATGGTCAGATATATTTCTTCTTTGTCAACCTCAATTTAAACAGCTGCTTTCTCCACCACATTTCTAACTGCCACGTTCTTCCTGACTCTGAAAGCTCACCTGTTTGGTGGCAGGTTTGCCTGGTGGTAAGTGTTTTCACTGGGGTATGTTGTTTTCTCTTTCTCTTTCTGAATGTTTTTAGCAATGAAGCTTCCATGAACTTGAACTTGGGGGTAGTTATAGACACTTGACCCCTCAGTGCCCCTTATCCATCACCATACATACAGAATTCCCTGCCCTGCCCCACACCTCTCTGTGCATGTTGTTCAGGGTTGTTTACGAAAACTAGAAACACAAAAGTACACCCTGTTCACAGCCCAGGTCTCCCAGGTCACAGGTACCTCTGAGAACAGTACTGCTGTCTTTATAGGGGACCCAGGATTGATTGTCTTCTTTCCAAAAATGAATTGACTTTTTAAAGTCAAGGTTTAATTTACATATAACATTAGTTTCAGTTGTACAACCTAATGACTTGACATTTGTATAAAGTGATCACTGTAATAAGTGATCACTGTAATAAGTCTAGTTACCCCCATCACCATACATACAGAATTCTTTTTCTTGTGATAACATTTAAGATCTACTCGCTTAGCAACTTTCAGGTAGGCAATACAGTATTAACTGTAGTCACCATGCTGTACATTACACTTCCATGGCTTATTTATTTTGTAACTGGAACTTTGCAGTTTCTGACTCCCTTCTACCCATTTTGCCCACCCCCACCCTCTGTCTCCGGTGACCACCAGTTGGTTCTCTTTTTGTGAGCTTGGCTTTTTGGCTTTCTGGTTTTGGGAGTTTTCAGATTCCACTCATAAGAGAGATCATATGGTATTTGTCTTTGTCAGACGTCTTTCACTTAGCATGATGCCCTCATCCATGTTGGAGATGGTAAGATTTCCTTTTTTGTGGCTGTGTAATATTCCATTATAGTTATGAATCACATTGTCTTTATCCATTCATCCATCAGTGAACACTTAGGTTTCCTTCCTATCTTGGCTGTTGTAAATTATGCTGCAGTGAACATGGGGGTGCGTATATCTTTTCCAGATGGTGTTTTTGTTTTCTTTGAATAAATACCCAGAAGTGGAATTCCTGGATCATACAGTAATTCTATTTTTAATTTTTTGAGGAAACTCCCTATTGACTTCTATAGTGGCTGCACCAA